CCAGCCAGCATGCTGGCTGGGGAATTCCGGGAGTTGGAGTCCACACATCTTAAACTTGCTGAGCATGAGAAACACTGATCTACAATAATCACTCAAATGGAAATTAGGCTGCTTTTAGGGGAGAGAATTATTCATACCATAACTCAAAGGGAAATATTTCTTATTTTGAAGAGTTGGGCAGTGTAGCGAGACACATCCTGTCTGCCTGTCTGTCTATCTATCTACGTACCAACACTATCCATTAGACTGTTCTCTAGAGCTGTTCTCAACCTAGGCAACTTTAAAATATGTGGACTTAATCTCCCTGAATTCCCAGCACACTGGGGAATTCTGGGAGTTGAAGTCTACATATCTTAAAGTAGCTAGTGTTGAGAAGCACTGCTCTAGAGCACAATTTAGTACTTGCAAATCCTCTTTAGTATTTCTAAAGCAGGATTACCTCACTAGTCCTTTTCCTCTGGAATGACCTTCCTCTGTTCACGCACTTTTCAGGAAGTGTCCATATCAATTCACTGGCAAATCATTCCAGTCCAATATATTCTGATTTATGGATTTTTTGGGGTTTTTTTAAATGATGAACGCAATAGCCATGTCAGGTTGCATAGGACTGCCTTTGTATGTGTTCTGGTATCTTGAATTAAATAGTTCCTCTGTCTAAATTCTGCCTTTTATTTCTACACGTTGAACAACCCATAGCAGGATTACTGTGCAATGAGATGTTAATAACCTATGGAAAAGTTTCCCTTAGAGCAGTGTTTCTCAATCTTGGCAACTTGAAGACGTGTGGACTTCAATTCCCAGAGTTCCCCAGCTAGCCATTTCTGGAATTCTGGGAGTTGAAACACTGCCTTAGAGGGTCAGAATTCTACTTTTATGGGAGTAAGCAACAAGGAATCGTGTGAGATTTCCTTCTGGGCAAATATAGGAGTACCAGAAGGCTTTCTTCCGATTTAATCATTACTTTGGCAGCCATCAGCACAAAGAATATCTGCGTACAGGTAATAAAGCAATCAGCTCATGACACAGAAATGCAGCAGGCTACTGAAGAGGTGACTCTCTCCTCTGCTAATCCTCAGCAGAAGAGTTTTCTGGTTGCTGTAGTGGGCTTCAGCGGTGCCCACGGGGGATCCAACAAGTCCGTCTGACAAAAGCAGCACTGCCCGTTGGGAAGACCGAGCCCCTTTGAGTGGGCCTCCTTACATTGCATGCACGTCCCAAGCTTACAGTGCCATGGCGCAATGTGGCTTTTGTCGTTTTGGCAAAGCAGCTGGAACCATGGACTTCCAATGGAAGTAGCCTGCTAACCAAGCTTCTGCAGAACTTCCAGAACACTGGAGTTACTATGGAAACGCTGTCCTGCCTCACTACTGTATATTTCTCAAGAAAGGTTCTGGGTAAAACTTAGCAGTCTAAAAGGCCCAGGCATTCCTGCGTGGGTGGGGGTTCTATACCGTCCATCCTCAAGGAAATCCTTCCTGGAGCCTGGAAGAGAGAGCGTTCGGTCTAGCTCCTTCCACTGACCCATCGTTATGAACCGTTACCTGGAGCCCCTTTCCAACTGGCCTGTAATTGTGTGGTTCAAGAACCTGAAGGCCTTTGACTGGGTCCGCCTGGGTGGGATCTTCTTCTCTTGCATAGCTACTTGCCTGCTGATGATAACAATCTCCACGGAATACTGGGTCAAAAGATTTGTCCGGGGCATCTTCATCTTCCGGGGATTGTGGGTAGACTGCCAGGCAGGGAAATGCACCCCTCTGAAAGAAGTGCCATGTAAGGGCTATGGAATCGTCAGAACTTTGAACATGCGGCCACTAGAAAAGTCCGGGTTGCAGCACTGCTTGGTTTGAGCAGGCCCTGTTCCTCTCTGGACCACCCCCCTATTCACCATTATTCTGCTTTCGCTCAGCAATGGGAAAGGCAAGACACCACCTTGCCCGAGAGCCAATACGCTTTACAAAAAGAACGTGTGGCCAGCCAAATGGTCCTGGCTCCATCCGCCCAGCCGCTCCAGTTTTAATAAACCGTTTGAAATAATCTCCAAGTTTTCTAGGAGGGGCTTGCTGGTGAAAAAAGATGGGAAAATAGTCCCAGAGCCACAGATGCAACTAATCCATCCGACTGTTGGTTTGGACTGAGGTGGCAGATACATCTCATAAATTAATATAATAGCAGCAGAGATGTTGGACCTGGAGTACAGAGACCAGGCTCATGTTTCCTGTAACTATGGAGATGAGTGGGCAGCATTGGTCCAATCTTTCTTTTTCAGTCCAATCTACCTTAGAGGGTTGTCATTCCAGGGATATAATTAGGGGAGATTGCCCCCTCTCTCCAAAGACACTACCTTGAGCTCAGAGAAAAGACAACAGAAAAACAATAAATAAGTAAGTTAGTTAAAAGCAGGAATCAGAAGCAATCCGATGCTGCCGGGGGGGGGGCACGGGGCCATGAAGGGGTGAAATGGGCAAAAAGCTTGTTCAATGCCATCAGAAGCAGAATCTGATTATCCAACCTGCCTCCTTCTCAGAACCTGTTTAAAAAGCTTATGCAGTACAGTTACTGCTTTTTCAACGTGTTGCTGGACTTTGGCATAGAGGCACAGCTGCTAATGGCAAACGTTTTTCTCATTTTTATAGCCTGCAGCTTCTGGTTCCTGTAGGCTGGACCCAGAACCAGAACCAAAACCTTTTTTTCATGTATATAGCCTGCAGCTTCGGGTTCCCCATACTGGCTGGGGAATTCTGGGAGTTGAAGCCCACACAGCTTAAAGCCGCCAAGGTTGAGAAACGCTGCTTTAGACACACTGCATTTGCAACAAGGAGGTCTATTGTGGGTCCTGATAAGAAAGAATATTGAAACAGCTAGATCACTGAAAGAGTATGAAACATGTTCTGGCAGCACCTCTCCTTGTTTTTTTTGATGTCCGTGATGTTCCTTTCTTCCCTGGATGAGCTCTAAAGGAAGAATATCAGTGGTTCTTTAAGTTTTCAAAGTAGCCCTATCGAATGGGTAGGCAGAAGGCACCTACTGGCTACTGCCGATAATGCCACCCACATGCCCATCACGTAAATCTCTGGGCCAATTTTGCAATTCTTTTAAAGCAGGGTTCCTCAACCTCAGCAGCTTTAAGATGGGTGGTCTTCAACTCCCAGAATTCCCCAGCCAGGGGAATTCTGGGAGTTGAAGACCACCCATCTTAAAGCTGCTGAGGTTGAGGAACCCTGTTTTAAAGGATATACCTTTATGTAACCGGCCTTCCAAAAAAATCAAGCAATCAGTTCTTCTGACACTCCAAATGGGGAGCCCGATAGGGCTTATCCCATGCTTAGTTTGCTGAGGGCATATGCAGGAAAAAAAAATCCCAGTAGTTTGTTCTTAAAATCCTAAACCCCAACAAATTTGTTTTTAAAATCCTAAACTTGCAAATATCGCTTCAGACAGTATTTAGAGTCTTGCCTGCTTCTCCCTGAGTCTTTATCTCCATCTGCTGGTTAACTGTTAATATTTCAGAAAGGAAACAGGAATTCATTTGGTAACTTTTGCTAGTAACTCTGTTCTGTAGGTCCCTGTTTTTAAACCATAGGTGTTAGCAGCAAACTGAGATTACATCCAAATGACACGCACGTGGTAACATCATGGCACAACCCCCCATCCTTACGCCCTGACCTCTGATACACGTACACAAATCTCAGCTTTTGCATTATGGCTCCCAAACTACATTTCATCGTCTGAATGCCCTATAGGGACTTGAACCTGGGTCTCCCCAGTCCCAGCAGCACTTCACCATACAGATTCCCTTCTGGGAAGCTTTCAAAAGAGCAACAGGAATCATTCAGCATTTCCTGAAAACTTCCAGATAGAGCTCCTCTGTGATCTTTCTCAGCCTCTTTGCATGCAGAAGGAACTAAACTGACGCTGAGGTGAAAGGCTAAATGGAGGTGGAAGGCTGCAGACCTGCCTGGGGAATAGAAGGTGATTCTAGGCTGACTTTTCACAACCGGCTTTCTCTTTTTCTTCTAGTCTATATCATCATCTCTATCATTTCAATGCTGATCTCTGCTTTAGCTTGCTACGGGGCTGTGATCTTCGGAATGATTTCACTCACTATTGTTCCGACATCAAAGAAGATCTCCCACTCTGACCTAGCCATCAGCCTGAGTTTCTTTTCAGGTAAGAAAACAACACCACCCACACACCCCACTTCGATTCCCAAATGTTCCTTGCAGGAAGATGGAAGTGATTTAAACCAGCTCCAGCCCCAAAGGGGGTTTCCATACAAAGACAGCATCGCACAAATCCATTCCAGCCTTCCAAATGAGCCACGGCGGAGTCATAGATAGATCCTGCCAAGCTGAATTTGCACCCTCATTGCATGGTGATAACGCTGTTGGATCTGGACTTAGCAGAAGTGAACCAAACTACAGGTAGTCCCCAGGTTAAGAACGCCTGGGTTACAGACGACCCATAGTTAAGAACGGAACTTCCTCATGAGATGGACAGTGTCTAAATTTGAAATATAAATAAATAAATAAATAGTCGACTTAAATACACAATGGTTCGAGTTCATTACACAATCTTACTTATACAGTATTATACAATAATACTGTTCCAGCTTATGTACAAATTTGATTTAAGGACAGACCTTGGGAACGGAACTCGTTCTTAAACTGGGGACTACCTGTATTACAAAGCATGGATATTTGCAGCTGTTCAAAAACATTTTTTTTTTACAAAAGAAAGCAGCAAACAAAAACAGGTGTTACAGAGGGGAAATGACCACCCTCCTCAAGAGCTAGAGGTGATCAGAAGACATGTAATTGTGATGGACTGTTGGTTGGAGGATGCAAAACTGGAAAGTTGGAAACGTTATTAGCTGGCCAGAAAGTTGAACCACAATCATCTTTTGTCCCATGTCACACCCCTGGGTTTCCCCCCTTCTGTGTTGAGTTTTGATATGTGTTTGCATGGTTATTGTGGCCTGACAGCTGAAAACTCAAGAGCCTAACTACCTAGGGATAAACTCCCTACCACTTTGGGGTCCAACTTTAACAGACCTCATCTCTTGACCTTCGCTCCTTTCCTGTCTTTCAGGTTGCATTGGAGGAATCGGACTGTTCAGTTTCATGAGATTCTCAACTGATGAGCCCAACACCTTCCTCTCCTGGTCAATGATCTCAGGATGGTTATCCATTGTGGTAGCTTCCATGGCAGGTAGGAGAAGCAGTGAAAACGAGAATAAGGGCCAAGCTGAAAGGAAGGAGGAAGCTTGCACAAATCCAAGCAGAGAACTTAAGGGAAGACCACCTTTCTTTATTGGCAATTCTTACACAACACTTGGCCCCTCTTCAGGCTTCAGTACTCTGAGTTTGGTACCCTGAGAATCAAGCGGGTGTCACTCCTGAAGTGTAACAGCCGTGCCATTCCCTTTTATTTGTGTTTCCATGACAGTAACCCAGGTACGAAGAGCCTCAGCTGGTATCAGCACCTAGCTGAGCTTGCCTGATCCCAAGGAAACAAGTTAAGCAGGGTTTTACCTTGTTAGTGCTTGGATGGGAGACCATCAGGAGCTCTCAGAACTGTGCACTAGACTGGGGAGTTGGAGGAAAAAAATCTGGAAAAAGTTAACGGCAAACCATTTTCATATGGAGCCAATTCGGCGCAGTGGTGAAGGTGCTGGCCTAGAAACCAGGAGACGGTGAGTTCTAGGCCTCCCTTAGGCATGAAAGCCGGCTGGGTGTCTTTGGGCCAGTCACTCTGTCTCAGCCCAACCCACCTCACAAGGCAGTTGTGGGGAAAATAGGAGGTGCAGGAATATTAGGTATGTTTGTCGTGTTAAGTTGATCAAATATAAAGGTAGGTATTATTAGGTACGTTTGCCACCTTGAGTTAACCAGATATAAAGGTGGGATAAAAATCTAATAATAATAATTTGCCAAGAAAACGACATGAAATCCCCAAGCGCTCAGCTCAACTGAAAGGAGAGTCCACCTTTTAGGCTGATGAAAATGAGACAGCATCCTGCTGGAAACTGAGGTTTTGGTTTTTTGTTTGTTTGTTTTTTACTTTTTAGGGGTTTGCCACTTTGTGGCAAAGCGATGGGAAGAGGAGGAAACCGCCGAGGCTCTGACGACTACAGAATTGTTTACATCCTGGGCAGAAGATGCCCCAGGTGCCTCCAGGCAGAAGAAAAAGGATGAGCAACAACAGGCACGGAGCACGTAGAGAACCAGCAGATCACTGGCGGGGTCCGATCAGGCACAGCATTTGTTCGGAGCAGAGTCAACTTCATTCCTGCTGGGAGATACGGTGATGTCCCCACGTGGGGTGACATCTTAAGTTTACTCCTGATCTCCAGCTTCAACGGGGTGGATGATGACATTAGGGCGCGGCCACGCTGCTGCCACAAGGACAAACGAGTGATGCATCCCATCCACATTCAGATTTCATCTCCGTCTCTCTCTTTCGCTCTTCCTCTCCCATCCTTGTCTTTTTTCATCATTCTTCTCACCTAACCTGTAATAAACTCCTTTAACGCACTTGGCTGACATTCACTCAGGTTTCTGCTCAAGCAAGAAAAGGACCCCACGGCTAGGGATGATGGGTGATGTAGCCGAGCAGCGGTGGAGACCTTTGAAGAAAATCTGAATGGTCAAGGAATGGACTCGGGTGGGCGCTGGCGCTCTCCCAGGAACAGCACTTTCTGAAATCCCCGGTTGTATTTCGACTTTTGCCCGTGAAAAATAGCGTGCTCAGCGGGGACGAACCAGAGAAGCGGTTCTTCCCATCACCGGTAACGTCCGGTTCCGGATTCAGACGTGCCTCTGCTGACGCGAGTTAAGATGCTCGCACGGGCAGGAGATCCCAAGGGTCACCAGAGTGCCACTAAGGCTCTACCACTCACAAGGGAGACCACCCGTGCCAATAATACAGGCCGGTATGAAGCGGGTGCCTCACCGCCTGCCCCGGGAGAAACCTGACACGCCTCTCGCCCTTTGGCCCACACTCTAGGACAAAGCCTACTTCACCGCAAGGAGGCGGAGAAAAGCCTGACTTCCTATTGGCTGCCTTTTCTCGGAGCGGAGAATGATTGGCCGGAGGGATGGTGACCAGAACGGACCTTCCCCGGCCCTCCGCTGAGTGCAGAAGCCCGCTATGATTGGATGTACTGTTATGCCAATCATTCCCTTGGCGCGCGGTCCTCTCTCGTTTTCCCTCCCATGAAGTTGTGGGGGGAGTCCAAACCAACGTCTAACTGGGAGTTCCGGATATTGGGCCCTGCCGCTTCCTCGGATTGGCTGAGCCGATAGAGGGGGCGGAGGGAGAGAGAGAGGATGAGAGAGAGAGAGAGAGAGAGAGAGAGAAATGCGCGCGCAGGGGTGGGCGGAGCCGCTGACTGCAAGAGCGGAGAGATGGCGGCGGCCGGGCTGAGGGCGATGGTGGGAGTGAAGCGGGTCATTGACTATGCCGTTAAGGTGCGCGCCGCCGGGGCTTTCGGGTTCTCCTTCCCCCCGACGCCCGGATTGTGCATCTCAAAAGTGTACCCGAGTTTCGTGTCTGCAATTATTAGGACCGGCCAGATGCCCCCAAGCCAGTGCAGATGCTCCTGAATTCGGCCTTCACAGGCTGTATAAAATCTCCCTGCCGTCGAGCCCCGCTCCGTGTTGCTTCCTTGGCAAGAATGCGGAACCGGTTTCCCACGGTCTTTTTCCCAGGGTTGTCCATAGCCGTGGGATCTCCTGATGGTCTCCTATCCATCAGTTAACCAGCCACAGACAGCATGATACTGTCTCCTGTTATGGACTCCCAGAATTCCTCTTCAGTCTGCTGGCTAGGAATCCTGGGGTCTGTAGTTCTAACTGCGGGTTGGGGAAGGCTGGATTTGGAGCCTCAGAAAATAGGCCGTGTTTGGGAAGAAGATTTAAAAAAAAAAAAAATGAGGGCAGGCCTTAGTCTCACGTGAATGCTTTTAAGTCTTTTTCATTCCCTGCTTTCGGGGGTTGCTAACTGATGAAGAGTCAGAAAGGATTCTTTCTTGCTCTCCCTCTCTGGTTTAAGATGTTTCTTTGATTCCCTCTCTTCCTCTTGAGAATACATTGTAGCCCCTGCTCCTGTTTTATCCCTACCACAAACAGTCCCGTGGAATAGGCCGGGGTGACTGGCCTTGAATCATCAGGTGAGCTTCACAAATGGGTGGGCACTTGAACCCAGGTCTCTTGGTCTCAGTCTAACACTATAAACCAGTGTTTCTCAACCTTTGCAACTTTAAGACGTGTGGATTTCAACTCCCAGAATTCCCCAGCCAGCATGGCTGGCTGGGGA